CCCTTTATTACAACCTGTGGACTTCAACTCCCAGAATTCCTGAGCCAGCATGGCCCCTTTATTACAACCTGTGGACTTCAACTCCCAGAATTCCTGAGCCAGCAGGGCCCCTTTATTACAACCTGTGGACTTCAACTCCCAGAATTCCTGAGCCAGCAGGCCCCCCTTTTACAACCCATGGACTTCAACTCCCAGAATTCCTGAGCCAGCCTGGTCCCCTTTACTGTGGCCCTTTGATGACTTGTGGACTTCAACTCCCAGAATTCCTGAGCCAGCATGGACTCCAACTCCCAGAATTGGACTCCCAACTCCCAGAATTCCTGAGCCAAAGAGGCTGGCTCAGGAATTCTGGGAGTGGAAGTCCATAAGTCATCAAAGGGCCACAGTTCCGCCCCTCTCCCCCCCCACCTTGGTAGAAACCAAACTCTCCACATCACAGGGAAACCAACCTTGCAGAATGCAGTCACTGAGCTAAGATTTTACTAGGGGGAATTTAATACCACTGAGTTATTTACAATCCAGAGAGGGGCGTTCCCGTGTCTAAAGCCGTCTTCTCCGGGGACGATAAATGTGGGTTTCATTTCGGTCAGGCAGGAAAGGGTGAGAGGCTCCCACTGAAACTGCGTGGCAGACCATCCTTCAATCCTCGGAAGAGGCTGATTTTTCAAATCATCTGCAAGGAAAAAAAGCGGGAAAATGACTACGCGAACTCTGTTTGCAGGCAGTCCTCGACTTACGAAGGAGAGTGAGCGAGAAATGTGTCGAGCGACTTTTGCTCTGTTGTACGGCTTTCCTCGCCACGTTTGTTAAGTGGATCGCCGCCGGCCTTAAATTAGTCACCCGATTGTCCGGTGAATCTGGGAGCGGCGTGCGGGTCTCGCGGCAGGGTTAGGATTCAAATTTTTTAACAACTGGTTCTGTGGGTGTGGCTTAGGTGGTGGGTGTGGCTTGGTGGTCATGTGACTGGGTGGACATGGCTTGATGGTCATCTTATTGGCTGGGTGTGGCCAACTCAATATCACTCACATCGAGGCACGCATCTCCTCGCCTGGCCTCTCGTGACTGTGGGGATGCTGCAACAGTCGTAAGTGTGAAAAATGGTCATAAGTCACTTTTTTCAGTGCCATTGTAACTTTGAGTGGCTACTCCAAACAAGCAAAGTACCAGCAAAGGAGGGGGAAAAAAACTCCAGAGAGGTTCCTGAGACAGGAAGTCTAGTCCTGCCAAGAATGTAATAAGGGTTAATGGAGAGGCAGTTTCTGTAAGCAACACCAGAATGTTTCCTTCCTGCCTTCCTTACAGGATTAGGCCAGTAATTTCTTCTAACAACCGGGTCTCCGAACTGCTTAGGATGTTAACAACCGGTTCTAGCGAATAGGTGAGAACTGGTAGAATCCCACCCCTGCCTAGCGGTGAAGCTAATTGCCTCCCGTTCAGAAGGTTAAGAGTTCAATCCTAGCTAGCGGCAAATATTTCTCTCTTCCCGGATGCAAAGAGAAAAAAAAAAAAATCTGCTCTGAACTCCCATGTGTTGTCGGGAAAGGCATCCGGCCAAGAAATGCTCAGCTCCATCCAGTTGCCACAACTAGGGGTGGGATTCTACCTGTTCAGACCAGTTTGGGTAAACCAGCCCCTCCCCTCCCAGGAGTCTCCATGGGACCCATTTTCAATGCAGGTAAGTGCAGGATCTGGGAGGAGGCTCTGGGAGGGGTGAAATGGGCCTTCCGGAAGTCTGGAAACGGGCCTGTTTCCAGCTTCCAGAGGGCCTCCAGAGCCCGGGGGAGACTGTTTTTCTCCTCCCAGAGGCCTGAGGTAAGCCTCCTGACTCTGGGGAAGGTGAAAAATGGCCCTCTCAGAAGTTCTGGTAGGCCACACCCACCGTGGCCACGCCCACCCAGCAACCGGGCAGTGAATCGGTTGCTGGGATTTTTGAATCTCACCCCTGGCCCCCGACTCTACCCCGAATTACTGAAGGGATGAGTGTCGTAAAAGGGGAGTTTGTTAAGTGAATCAGGCTACCCCGTCGACTTTGCCAGTCAGAAGGGGAACACGTGACCCCTGGGACACTGCAACTGTCATAAATATGAGTCAGTTGCCAAGGGTCTGAATGTGGATGGGGTGACCCCTGCAACAGTCGGAGTTCGAAAAATGGTCGGAAGTCGCTTTTTTCAGCGCCGTCATAACGTCGATCGCTAAATGAACTGTTCTAAGTCGAGGGTTGTCTGTATTGGCAAGATTAAAGTCAATGTTTAGGATTCCTCAACGCTTCCCATCCCCAACACACACACACACACACACATATGAATTTCCCAGTTCCTTAGAATCATGAAGAAGCCACAACTTACCTAGTCTGGAATGAAGGTGCAACTGAGGATACAACCTTTGTAAACGCCTCTCGGCGTAATTTTTGGAAAAGCGGGCTTCGCCTTTGAAATCCTTCTTGTTGGTGAACCTGCTGAGAAGACGAAATATGTTTGTTGAGGACGCAGCTGTCCTGACCGACTCCTCGTCCTAAAAAAACCCACCTTTTTATTTCGTTTACAGTGAGTTCCTCTCCAGCAAAGTCACGGCCAACAGTCTTTCAAGAGTTGCCAGGCCGATAGCTTCCAAACGCCACACTGTAGCAGCAATGACTTGGCAAGAAATCAGGAACAGATCTTCACCCGAATGAATTGAACTATCTCCTGCAAACCCCACTCCCCTTTCGCTCCTCTTTATTCCCTTATGGGAGGGGCCATCCACCGTCCTCCTGAGCCTTTACTCCCGAGTCGACCCTTGTTCCTCAGCTGTTCCCTTCGTCTGGCAGCTCTGTGCATGCGCACACTGGGAACAGGCTCCAGCTGCTCTTCTTCCCCACTGATCTCCGACTCTGAAGGCAGCTGATAACTGCCGGACGGCCCTGGCCCCATCTCTGCCTCGTGTTCCTTAGCTGTTCCCTTCATCTGGCAGCTCTGTGCATGTGCACACTGGGAACAGGCTCCAGCTGTTCTTCTTCCCCATTGATCGCTGACTCCGAAGGCAGCTGATTAACTGTCGGACGGCCCTGGCCCCATTTCTGCCTCCGACGCAGAGCCCTCCTCAGAGCCTTCCTCAGCCTCCAGGACTGGCCCAGGTTCCTCCCCAACCTCCTCACTGTCCAAATCTGCTGCCAGCTCTTGTGCTGGCAGACCACAACAACGGCAATCTCTTTTTGCACATCCAGAAATCCCAATTTGGACCTCAGATTATTCAGGTGGCTAACAAAAGATTTGCTCAAAAGGATTATAAATAAAATAATATTTCCATATCTGGGATTTCATCCCAGAAAAAAATAGGAATAACGATGTGACAGTCAAAAAGATAAAGGAAAAATGAACGTCGCCAAAGGGAATCACATGACCCCAGGATGCTACGACCGTCATAAATACGAGTCGGTTGCCAAGCGCCTGAATTTTGATCCCGTGACCCCAGAGATGCTTCAATGGTCCTAAGTGCGAAACACGGTCCTATGTCACATTTTTTTCAGGGCTGTTGCAACTTCGAACGATCACTAAACAAACTGTCGTAAGGCGAGGACTACCCATCAGGGGTCAGCTTGAAAGTATCACCAGTCTTGTTTTGGGGGGTCTGACATCTCTTAAGTGGCTTTAATGAGTGGTGAGGTAGCCTAAAGTTGGAGCTCTGGCCTCACCATCAAGAGGCTGTGAGTGGTTCTGACCCAGGCTTCGTCAAACGTGATTAATCTCAAGCTTGTTTTCAAAGCAAAACCTATTTTATGGCGACGCCGGGAACTGTTTGCATTCCCAGCCAGAACTAATCTTAAACAGTTCCCCGAGATAAGCACACGCCTTTCAGTGCTGTGGAATGCTGCCAAAAACAGGAGTCTCCAATTAATTATACCAGAAACCGAGCAGAGTATATACAGAGCTTCAAGGAGGACTCGGAATCTATTGAACTACTTTGCTTCCTGCAAAGGTTTCGTCATTGAGGTCTGACTTTTATCCCTTATGGGAGGGGAAATCACCTCCCAGCCTTACTCCCGAGTCGCCCCTTTTGTTTCAGCTGCTCTCGCCTTCTAGCAGCTCTGTGCATACGCGCACTGGGAACAGGCTCCCCTGGATCCTCTTCCTCACTGCTGCCAGACTCCAGAGGCTCCAGAGGCAGCACCCCAGTCCCAGATGGTCCTGGCCCCATCTCCACATCGGATGCAGGACCCTCGTCCGAGTCCTCTCCAGACTCCCCGACTGGTCCCCGTTCTTCCTCACTGTCCGATTCCACTGCCGTCTGCACGGCCTGCCGGCGAACCACAAATCGATCCTAGGTCGAGGGAGCTCTTTCCCTCTCTGGGCACAATGAGCCTATTATCTGCTGAACAAAACTCCGTACTGGTGACAGGAAGAGCATCTGGCCATTATTAGCTCCATGCAGTTTCCTACACTCCACCCAGCAAGGGATTATGGGATCGTTAAATGATAATGATGATGATTTATTCTATTCTATTTAGAGTGATGCGGTGGCCTAGAAGGGGAACTCTCACCTCTCAATCAAGAGGCCGTGAGTTCAATCCTAGGTAGAGGCAGATATGTCTCTTTCTCTTTCTCTCTGGGTGCCATGAGGATATTATCTGCTCAACAAAACTTCGTACCGGTGACAGGAAGGGCATCCGGTCAAGAAAACAACTCTGCTAGCTCCGTTCAATTGCCCAGACTCCACCCACTTAAGAATTATGGGCTCCTTAAAAGGAGATCATGATCTCATCAGTTGCTTTAATAGGGAAGACAAACCACAATGGATTTAGGATTTGGTACCTTAATTGCGTGGGGATTTTCAGCTTTTTGGTTTCCATCCCGGGGGGTTCCTTGGATGAGACCCCCACTGGGGGCAAGAAGCGGGGGGCTTGACCCCGGAAGCTCTGCGGGTAAGGCTGGGTAGGAAAGGAAGACGGTCAGTCGGGGGTGACCTCCGATACAGGCAGTCCTCGACTTACGACGGAGCCCAGAATTAATGGTCATAAGTGGTGCTGGTTCTTAAGTGAGTCACGAGGTGGCAGGGCCCAGTTTTACCCCTTTTTTCAGTGGCAGTCATTCAGTGAATCCCGATGTCCACGATGGGCAATATTTGACCAGAAACTGGAATTAAATCATCGTTTCTGAGGAAAACAAGTTAGTCAATTGTGGTCACCTGACTTTAGGATTGCCCTAAATGCGGATTGTGGATTGGCTGGGTACCCGACATAGGATCGTGTGACCGAGCGGGTGGATGTTGGGACTTCGAATGTGAGTCTCTTAAGTAGCTCTGTCAATAAGTAGCTCTGTCAAATTGTCAGTAAGCGGCCAGTCGTAAATTGAGGACTACCTGTATCTTTCCAGGGTGTGCAATATTCACACACACACACACACACACACACACACACACACACACCCCTAATCATCCCTCGTCCTTCTCTTACCATTCTGCGCATCAGGTCTACGTAAACCACCAAACTGTTTTTGGTTCATCTAAGTTTAGGATTAAAACGGGTTGGACTAGATGACCTCTAAGGTCCCTTCCAGCTCTGTTATTCTGTTATTCTGATTAAGGGTGTTGAACCAATCCCCAAGGCACGCACCCACTCTCTGGATTCCCTCCTATTAAATGGGAAGGACCATCTTTGTTTTTCTTTCTTTCTTCTTTTGTTCTTCCTTCCTTCCTTCCTCCCTTATCCTTCCTTTCCCCTCTTTCCATTCCTTCCTTCCTTGCCATTCTTCTCCTTCCTTCATTTCCATTTTTCTCCTTCCTTCCTCTTCCTCCCTCCCTCCCTTCCCATTATTTTCCTTCCTTCCTGCCTACCTATATACCTACCTAAGTTCCCCTTCCTCCTTCCCTCCCTCCTTCCCTCCTTTTCCCTCCTTCCTTTCTTTCCCCCTTCATTCATTCATTCTTTTCCTTCCTTCATACCTACCTATCTTATCCTCCCTCCCTTCCCATTATTTTCTTTCCTTTTCCATTCTTTTCCTTCCTACTTACCTATCTACTTACATAAAGTTCTCCTTCCTCCTTCCCCCCTCCTTCCTTCCCTTCCTTCCTTCCTCCCTTCATTCATTCTTTTCCTTTCTTCCTTCTTACCTATCTACCTATCTAAGTTTCCCTTCCTCCTTCCCTCCCTCCCTCTCTGTCCTTCCTTCCTTCTCCCCTTCATTCATCCATTCGTTCTTTTCCTTCCTACTTACCTAACTACCTATCTTACCCTCCCCCCTTCCCCATTCCTCCCTTCCTTCTTTCCTTCCTTCCCATTCTTTTCCTTCCTTCCTACTTACCTATCTACCCACCTAAGTTCCCCTTCCTTCTTCCCTCCCTCCCACCCTCCCCCTCCCTCCCCCCTTTCATTCTTCCCCCTTCATTCATTCATTCTTTCCCTTCCTTCCTTCATTTCAACTACCTACCTACTCATCTTCCTCCCTCCCTCTCTCCCTCTCTCCCTCCTTTCTTTCTTCCCCCTTCATTCATTCATTCTTTTCCTTCCTTCCTTCCTTCATTTCAACTACCTACCTACTTCTCTTCCTCCCTCCCTCCTTCCCCCTCATCCATCCATCCCTCCATCCATCCATTTTTCTGCCAGGGGAAAGGGCCGAGTCCCCTTACCCTCCTGGACAAATCTTTGGGGAAGTACTGGAACGGGGTGGTGAGGTGTTGGCCAGAAACGAGCAGAGGAAACGGGTTGTTGGTGACGATCAGGGCCGTCTTGTCCTGGTTGAATTCCGACGATCTCAACATGAGGGCGATTTCCCTCCGGTGCTGCTCCAAGCGCTCTTGGAAATCCGCGTCCGTTGGAGGGATAAAATATTGAGTCTGCAAAGAGACGGGTAGAGCTGGTGAGAAAGAAAACGTAGGGTCTCCCAAATTCGGATTTGAGGTTGTTGGGAGGAAGCGAAGAGGCGTCAGAGGTCAAAAAAAAGACAAAATGGCACCTATGGTGGGAGGACGGAAGTCTGCCCCCTTTCGGCCTGAAGGGGACAGGGCTTGGATCCCCCATCGATGGTGTCCGATTTGTCCTTTTGGACTCTCCCCTGACAGACCCCCTACAGGTAGTACTTGATCTACAACAGTTCATTTAGTGACCGTTCAAAGCACTGGTGGGTTTCAAAACTTCTTCCTACAGGTTTGGTGTGAGCGCAGGCTTTGCGTTTGCAACTCTGCTGCAAGCCCTGTGTATAAAACAGATGATGCGCGCTAATCGGCTATGCCACATGAAGAGCTGAGGTTGAAAAGCAGGAAATAAAGTCAGTCTAGCGCCAAGGTGGGTGGGAGAGCCCAGCAGCTGATCGTTGGGGTGAACCGGTTTGTTCAAAGCTGATCATTGGAGCGAATCAATTCACTCACAGATAATTGTCGGAGTAAACCAGTTCACTTACAGCTGATTGTCAGAGCAAACTAGTTGGCTAACAGATGATCATTGAAGTGAACTAGTTCGCTCTCAGCTGATTGTCGGAGCAAACTGATTTACTCAAACCTGATCATTGGAGCGAACCGATTTGCTCACAGATGATCCTTGGAGCGAACCAGTTCACTCACAGGTGATCATCGGAGTGAACCGGTTCGCTCTCAGCTGATTGTTGGAGTGAACCGATTCACCCTCAACTGATCATCGGAGTGAACTGGTTCGCTCTCAGCTGATCGTCAGAGTGAACTGGTTCACTCTTAGCTGATCGTCAGAGCGAACCGATTCACTCACAGATGATCATCGGAGCAAACCAGTTTGCCCACAGTTGATCCTCAGAATGAACTGGTTCACTCATAGCTGATTATCAGAGTGAACCAGTTCGCTCACAGCTGATCATTGGAGTGAACAGGTTCACTCTCAGCTGATCATTAGGGTGACCGGTTCGCTCACAGCTGATCATCGGAGTGAACTGGTTCAGTTGAACCAGGCCGAACTGGTAGCATACCACCACTGGTTCAAAGTTGCAACAGCACTGCAAAAATTGACCTATAACCGTTTTCCCCACACAACTGTTACAGCATCCCCATGGTCACATGATCAAAATTCAGACTCTTAAGATGCTCGCCGTGTCCGAGAGATCACATGATCCCCTTGGGCCAGCTTTTGACAAGCAAAAGTCAATGGAGAAGCCAGTCGTAAGTGTGAAAAAAAAAGAAAAATCCATGGCCATTGTTACTTTCACTGGTTACTATGAACCATGGTAAGTCAAGGATTCTCGGTGATCCGCCAAAATGGCTACTCCGCTTTGTGTCCGCAGAAGTCTCTGGGTTGGAGAATGCGGTTGCAAGCAGAGTGGGGTACATGTAAAAGCTCTGTCCCCCCCAAGTTTCCATTTCAATCCTGTTCTGATTCTACCCCATTCCTAAATCCAGTCCTCAATATCCCATTTCCTTGTCCCAAAGGAGCTTTTTCACGAGGCAACTGGACTTTCTCATTTTCCTTTGAAGAAGTTTGTTAAACAGGAAACGTTGTCTATCTCCAGTCTACAACAGTTAGTCCTTCAACAGTTCCAAGAAGCTTCCACACTGTAGGAAGAAAAATCCACTCCGGTTCTAAGCTTGGGAGAAGAAAAATATGCTGGAAATAAAATGGAGGCTGGCTACAAGTAAAGGAAGTCTCTGTTTATTTGGCTTTCCAGAAACTTCAGGGATAGCAACGTGTTTCTGGGGCGGCTGACAAAATAGCTGAGTGAGTAGATGGACTTTTATAGGGTTCTGGGGGTTTGGTGTTTGAGATGCTCCAGGGCGTTGTGCGATGTAGCGAGCCTTGTGTCTTTTGCTATTCTAATGGTGGTGGGTTAATCCTATTATGTCCTAAAAGGTCCTGTCCTGTCCTTCTTAATTCCATCACCCTGGAGCTGAAAGTGTTTTGTTTATGAATAGATTGGCCCGGATTTCTTAATGGGCACAACATCTCTAAAGACTTCAGGTCTCTGCTGGAGGCTGTTTTACTATGCAGGAAGACTCAGGGGGCTGCTTTCCACCTTTAAAAACACGTTTTCTCTTTTGCTTCTTTGGGGAAATATACTATTCTGCCTCTTTTAATATTCCCCTAAATATTTTGTTCTCTGGGTGTGTGTGTGCGCGTGTGTGTAAGCATCTCTCTGTGTTATTACTTCTTACATCATGTCCTGCCCTTAAAATTTGGGTGGGAGGGGGATGTAAATTCTTGATCCCATCAGCTCCAGCCTTCTGTGGGAGTTGTGGCTGAAGCAGTGGTGGGATTCAGAAATTTTTTTAACTATCGGTTCTGTGGGCGTGGCTAGGAGGCGTGGTTAGGAAGCATGGTCATGTGACTAGGTGGGCGTGGCTTTTTTTTGCTTTTTGCAGCAAACACCCCACCCCAATTTTGGGGCCTTCTGGGTAAAAAAAACCTCCTGGGGAGCTTTTTTGTTTCCAGAAGGCTTCCCTCAGGCTCAGGAAAGAAAAAATGGAGAAGGGGGGGCAGCATCCCCCACACTTCATTTTGGGGCTCCCTGGGATCCAGGAAGGCAAAAAATGGAGAGGTTTTGGGTTTTTTTTGCCTTCCTGGTCCTCAGGGAAGCTTCCTGGGCAAAGCAGAGTAAGTCAGCGAGGGGAATCGTAGGAACAGTTGATCGTCAGGAGGGGAATAAAAGAAATACCTTAAGGAGTGACTGGGCAGCGTTGAGGTATTTCCCTGTTAGGAGAATGAGCGCATACAGGGAGACATAGTGAGAGTAGGGAAGAATAACACACACACACAGCACACAGATACACTGTACAGTAAATGTAGGTTTTTACTTCCAATAAACGTTTCAGCACATTCCAAGATAAGCAGTCCAAGTCATTCATAGGTAAAGCAGTCGATGTTCAGGTCAGGGATAAGCCAAATATCAAAGTCCAGTATCAAAAACAGTTCAGTAACAGACTTACATCAAATACAAGAATAACAGTCAATTAGGAGGAACGGCAATACTCTCCAACAGAAGGAAACAGAGATACACTCACACTCTCTTCTGAGACTAAAACAACCCAGGTTTCTGGCTCCATCTTATGGCCATTTGAGAAACCACACCCAATTACAGTTTTAGCATTTTCTTAGAGACATAGTATAAAAATCCTAGTTTATATATTTCCAACCCAAATAACTGTTAGGTGACTTACATTCCTAACATTCTCCCCTTTTGGGTAGGACAATATATACAACCTTACATTCTAAGTCCATAATCCTTGCAGCACGCCTTATGCTTTATAGAGCCTCGGGCCTTTGTAAAATGATCTGCTATGTTGTTTTCTGACATACAGTATTCCAGCTTAATCATCTTACTTTGCACACATTGTCTCACATTTAACTATCTTAAATCTGTGTGTTTTGATTTTGTCTTGACAGCAATACTTGAAGCCAACTGTATCACTGATTGATTATCTTCATAAACAACAATAGAATCTGTTACATCAATTCCCATGTCAATTAGTAATTGCTTATAACGAACTAAATCTGTACATACATTCCTAACAGGCGGGCTAGCGTCGGGCAGGCGGGGTGAGTGAGTGAGTGGTGACTGGGCTGGGGGCGTGGTCAGCCAGAAGTTACTACCGATTCGGCAACCCACACCAAATCCTTGCTACCGGTTTGTTTGAACCGGTGCAAACCGGCTAAATACCACCACTGGACTGAAGGCGTTTTGTTTATGAATAGGATGGCCTGGTTTTCTTAACAGGCACAAAATATCCATTTCTAAAGACTGGAAGCTTCTACTTGAAACTACGGCAAGAAGACCAGCGGGGTGTGGGGGTGATGGCTGCTTTCTGCCTTTGTTAAGATTTTTTTTTTTTGCTCCATTTTGAGGAAATATACTTAATATTCTGCCACTTTTAATATTCCCCAAAGTATTTAATTCTCTAGGAGAAGTGAGATTCCCACAACACAAATTGGCACTACTCAGGTGACCCTGGGGGCGCAGGTAAACCTCCAAGTGGCCTCAACGATTCTCCAAAAGGGTACAAATAACCAGCTTTGTCTGCAAGGAAGCTCAATCCTTCCATTCCCCACCACCCAGTCAGAACTGAGGAAGCTTCTTGGAGGAGAATCGAAACGCCTTCAAAGAATAACAAGAAAAGTCCAGTTGCCTCTTGAAATAAAAGCACCTTTGGGAACAACCACGACCTGGAGGACCGAGAATCTCTATAAACATCCCATTTCCTTGATTTTGGAGAAAAACCTGGATATCTTCTTCCCTTGGGAGTGATCTCCAGCAGTTCTCTCTTTTGTCTCTATTGTTTAAAGGCTGGGCTGGGCTGCTTATCCAATCAGTTTCCTTGGCTTTGGCCCAGGGATTGTGATGTGCCACCTCCATGCACCTCACAGTGCACCTCACAACTGAAGAAGTTTCTTTCTTGGATGAGAAGTAAAACTTTTTTTTAAAAAAAAAGAACAAGGAAGTCTAGTTGCCTTTTGAAAAGCCCTTTTGGGACTCCACTGTGCACTAACTCTGTATAAGCACAGAAGCTGGGGAGAAGTTTTTTTTTTTTAAACAAGTTTTATTGATTTTACAAACAAACAAACAAAACAAAACATCATTAAACATTAAAAACATAAAACCTCTTTCCATTGTAGATCTTTACAAGGCAGGTAACATATTGCTTTATATCACGTACTTATAATTTATCCCATTTCCATATAAACACGTAAATTCCCTTTACCAAATTCCACATTGTTTCTCTTTAGAGAAGCTGGGGAGAAGTTTTGAGGAACTTCAAGCCTACGTGAAGGAGGATCAAGTTGAGAAAGACATTATCTAACCCAGTTTCTTGACCTTGGCTACTTGAAGATGGGGGAAACTTCAATTCAGTGGTGGGATTCAAAAATTTTTTTACTACTGGTTCTGTGGGCGTGGCTTGGTGGGCGTGGCGTGGCATGGTTTGATGAGCGTGGCAGGGAAAGGATACTTTAAAATCACTCATGAGGGAAGGCTACTGCAAAATCCCCATTCCCTCCCCGCCCCACTAACCTGCTTTGCAGCTCCATTCTCCTGTGTAGGGCAACCAAAGAAGACCCAGCCAATCAGCTGGGACTCAATGGGAGGCAGAGAAGAAATGGGGTTGGCGGGGCCAGTCAGAGGCGGGATTTGCCGGTTCTCTGAACTACTCAGAATTTCTGCTACCGGTTCTCCAGAACTGGTCAGAACCGGCTAAATACCCTTCAATTCCCAGTTAATTTTCCAGCTGCCTCAGCAACTTTAAGATGGATGGGCCTGCTCCCAGAATTCCACAGCTGCAGTCAACAACTTGAAGATGGGTAGCGGACTTCAATTCCCGACAATTTTAAGATAGGTGGACTCCAACTCCCAGAATTCCCCAGCTCTCTCAACAGCTTGAAGTTGTGTGGATTTCAACTCCCAGAATTCCCCAGCCATCTCAATAACCTGAAGATGGGTGGACTTCAACTCCCAGAATTCCCCAGCTATCTCAAGAACTGGAACATGAGTGGACTTCCACTCCCAGAATTCCCCAGCTATCTCAATAATTTGAAGATGGGTGGACTTCAACTCCCAGAATTCCCCAGCTATCTCAAGAACTGGAACATGAGTGGACTTCAATTCCCAGAATTCCCCAGCTATCTCAATAATTTGAAGATGGATGGACTTCAACTCCCAGAATTCCCTAGCCGTTGCAACAATTTGAAGAGCAGTAGACTTCAATGTCCAGAATTCCACAACTCTCTTAACAACTTGAAGAGAGGTGAACTCAAACTCCAATGATTTTCCAGCCCTCTCAGCAACTTTAAGACATGTGGACTGCAACTCCCAGAATTCCCCAGCCAGCTGGGAGTTAAAGTCTTCATGTCTTGAAGTTGCCAACGTTGAGAAACTAACCAAAGTTAGATTTTGGAAAGAACATTCTTGGAGCTGTGTTGAATTAGAATTAGAATTAGAAGAACTTTACTGTCATCGTACAAGTACAACGGAACTGTCGATGCACCCCAGCAACTGTTCGCAATACAATAAAACCAATTGAAGATAAGAAAAATAGAGTACCTGTTATATATTTGAATGTTTGAATGTTCCGTTCTGATTGGTTTGGCCGACGGCGGGAAAATTGAATAGCCGTCATTGGCTGCGAGCCGCGAGCCGCGAGCAGGAAAATTGAATAGCCGTCATTGGCCGCGAGCCGCGAGCAGCCGCTATAAAAGAGGCTGCCGCGGCTCCGTTGTTGTTCAGTTACCGATTAATGATTAATTAACGACAATTAATTAATTAATGACAATTAAAAGCAACTAAAGATTAACTGGTCTCGAGTCGTCTTTCCCACAACTTAACAGTACCCACGTCTCCATTTGCAATTTGAGAGTACAATATCTACGAATATACACAAAATATACATCCAACACTGACTGTGACGCTTAGCCGAGTATAATACACAAGAGAGGAATTGTACTGTAATATGTTATTATACATCTGGATGGGGTATTGAGATTTCACATCTTTTCACATCTTAATAAGGTAGCGACTTCGTGTTTATTTGCGGTTCGGATCGCCCAGGGAAAGAAACTATTTGTTAGTCTAGTGGTGTGGGATTTTATTGACCTAAAACAATGTCCAGACGGCAGCAGGTCAAAAAGATAATTGCCAGGGTGTGAGGGGTCTTCTATAATGGCGTTGATTCTGCTTTGGCAGCGGGACCCGGCTAAGTCTTCCAGGGAGGGCAGAGGGCAACCAACGATCTTTTGAGCTATGTTTATCACCCTTCACTCTTCTGAATGACCGACGCTTTATGAGAACAACTATCTGCTGGACATGTACTGTATGTAATGAGACTGATAAAACAAAATTTTCCTTCCTTCAGTTAAAAAAAAAAAAAAGGAGATATTTTTATTTACCAGATTCGGATGGGGAGAGAAATGCAACTCGTGCGTCAAATAGAAGCTGCTCATCGTGCATAGAATCAACCTGCAAATAAAACAAATATTGTAGATTTACCACACCAAGAGGACTGCATCCAGCTTTGTTCACCACATTATAAAAAAGATGTCGAGACTCTAGAAAAAGTACAGAGAACAGCAACCAGGAGGATTAGAGGACTGGAGGCTAAAACATACGATGAACGGTTGCAGGAACTGGGCCTGGCTAGTCTAGGGAAGAGAAGGACCAGGGGAGACAGGAGAGCAGTCTTCCAGTATTTGAGGGGCTGCCCCAGAGAGGAGGAAGGGGGTCAAGCTATTCTCCAAAGCACCGGAAGGCCAGGCAAGGAATAATGGATGGAAACTGATCAAGGAGAGATTCAAACTAAAAATACGGAGAAACTTTCTGACAGTGAGAACAATCAACCAATGGAGCAGAGGTTTCCCTCAGAAGTTGTGGGAGCTTCATCACTTGAGACTTTCAAGAAGAGATTGGACTGCCATTTGTCAGAAATGGTGTAGGGTCTCCTGCCTGGGCAGGGGGTTGGACTAGATGACCTACAAGGTCCCTTCCAACCCTGATTATCTATTATCTGTTAAATATTTTTCCCTGTTGGAACAATAATCCGCGCCTCCCTCCAAGCTAGGAGAAAGACGCAGAAGAAACGAATTGGAGGCAGTGAGAAAGGAGGCCTCCCTTTAGTTAGGATTTAAAAGTGAAGTGACACAGCATTTCGTTTTGGGACAGCTGACAAAACAGTCTGAAGAGTGGGTGGGTTTTGACGTGGTTCTAGGGCCTTTGCGATTTAGATGCCCAGGTTCATTGTGAAGCATAGATTTTCGGAGCTTTTGTTTTTCTGCTTTTCATCCGATCAGCTTCAGCTACCTGCAGCTGATAGCACTTTGCTTATGAATGGAGCCATTGGTGGGATTCCACATTTTTTTCCTACCGGTCCTATGAGAGAGCACTTCGCCCGCACACGCAGTATTCACACATCACCCTCTTTGTCAGCACTTGTGAGGTGAGCTGCTTTTCAGCTCAGCTGAGGCGCGGCAATCCACTCTGCCACACGAATCAGCTGAGATAAAAAAACCGAGGGAATATAAATGTTCTGACCCAAACCTTGTTCCAAGGGAATGAACATGAAATAGAGGTAACAGCAAAACCTTTTAACGATTCTTTACTAATTCCGTTCCTTCCCGGTGAAAAGGCTGTTTCAAACTAATTGTCTCTGCCTTGCCAAGGTGATGCAAGGCTGCCAAGAATGCTAGATAAAGTTGCCAAGAAATATTTCAAACACCAAGAGTCTCCAAACACAAAACAAGATAGTACAAACGTCCACAAGGCTTGAGTGCAAAAAATTTCTTTGCTTCCTGCAAAGAACTCCGGTTTCTCAGCTGGCTTTTATCTCTTGAGGGAGCGGCCTATACCTTGCAGCCTTCCTCCCGAGTCGCCTGTGCTGCTGCAGCTGCTCTTTCCTTTGAGCAGCCCTGCATGCACGCGCACTGGGCACAGGCTCCTCGGGGTGCTCTTCCTCACTGCTGCCAGCCTCCACCATCTCCGAAGGCAGCACTCCACTCCCTGGTGGTCCTGGCTCCATCCCTGCATCACGTGCGGGGGCCCTCATCTGAGTCCTCATTCTCCGAGACCTCAGCTGTCTGCACCTGCTGCCGGCGAACCACAGCAACAGGAGAGATAACGGCGGGGGGTGGGTGGGTGAGGCCTTTGCTGAATGACTCAAAATTTCCGCCACCGGTTCTCGAGAACCATTTCGAACCGGTTAAATACCACCTCTGAATGGAGTTGTCCGGCTTTCTTTGAATGGATGCCTTGCTTGGAATGTTTTCCGGATAGTGGAGAGACGCAAATGTTATAACAACACTGAAAAAGGTGACTTAGGTCCATTTTCCACAGGGCTGCTTGAAGGAAAGAGCGGCTGCAGCAGCACGGGCAACTCGGGAGTAAGGCTGCAAGGTGATGGCCCCTCCCTTAAGAGATAAAAACCAGCTGAGAAACCGGAGTTCTTTGCAGGAAGCAAAGAAGCTTTTGCCCTCAAGCCTGGTGCACCGTTGCGGCATTCCCCCGTGGTCGCGTGATCAAAATTCAGATGCTGGGCAACTGACTCATATTTATGACGGTTGCAGGGTCCCGGGGTGTGTGTCCCCTGATCCCCTTTTGAGACTAAGCAACTTAATCAAGCAAAGTTCACAAGGAAGCCAGATCCACTTCACAACCGTGGTACTAACTTAAGAACCTCCGTGGTTCACTTAACAACTTGAAAGGTTGTAAAATGGGGCAAAACTCACTCAACAATGCTCGCACGGCAGCAAAAATGTTGGGCTCAATTGTGGTTGGAAGTGGAGGACTACTTCTCTCTATCTATCTATCTATCTATCTATCTATCTATCTATCTACCTACCTACCTACCTACCTATCTATCTATCTACCTATCTAGCTAGCTAGCTAGCTATCCCACTCTCTCTCATCCATCTATATCTATATCTATATCTATATCTATATCTATATCTATCTGTCTGTCTGTCTGTCAATCATCTCTCTCTCTCTCTCCCTACCTACCCTACCTAGCTATCTAATCCAGAATCACTGTTTTCTCTTGTTTAATTCTCCCGTCTCATCCATGTCTTCCTTTGTTTGATCTCTTGCTTTCTGACATATCGACTGTCCCAAATCTACAGTATGTAT